ATTGAGAAACACACAACTCAAAATCACGCTTGTTACTGATAGCATCAAGGGCGAATCATTATAAAAAGGTCAATCCGAAAAAATTTCTGCAAGGGCCAATATACGGTTTGCGTCGAGAAAAATAAAGTCGACATTGAAGCCGACAAGGGAGTGCCAATTTATTGTCTGAACAGAAAACGTAGACGAGGACAATGTGCAGAATTTTTCTCGAATTTTCCTAATTTGGTAATTTGGAAATTTCGTGTTTCACTGTTTTCTTTCAGGCTTTAGCTGATTCCATTGGACTGTTTCATGATTTTTAAGAGTTGGAAAAATTCAAATCTTTTAGAAATAAGATCATTTAAATCTTATCACACTCATGGAAGTATAAGATTTGATATGATTTCTTTTTATTTGCTTTTGAGTTTGTTCACAGTAAAAAGTCTATTCTTTAATCTCTACTTAACTGTTGGATGAAGGCTACATCAAGATGGGTGGTTATGATCACTCTACATAGTTGATATTGACTGAGTTCACACTCAAAGAAAGATTTTTCTATCAATTTGATTATGTTCACACTTGGATGAGATTCTTTTAGAGAATATTTTTTTGTATTAGGATTTTTATATTGATTCCTTATTGCCTTATTGTATTTGAGTTCAAGATGAAAAGGTTAGATTAGATAAGATTTGAATCTTAGTAGGTAAGAGTCCTTGTTGTGAATCCCTATCTTGCCTCCTTGTAATATGGGATTAGGATAATGGGAAAATTCTTTACTATCTTTTTAGGAGTCTAAATTTGTGCTCCCTTTTCTGCTATAAAATAGGGGCCGAATTCATCATTGTAAATGTGTTGAGATTTTATTAAATTTAGTGTTGGATTGTTAACTCTCTTGACGGATTATTGCTAAATTTTGTTTTGTGTTTTCTAAGGGACTTATCAATTGAAAAGTGCTTTTTTCAATTTCCATTCATAGCTATCGACCTTCTTTCACAATAGATTATTGCTCTTGATTCTTTTATAGTCAAGGTTCTTGAATCATAGTTGTTAGAATGGTGAAGCTTTATAATCAAGATACTTTTCCACAAGTTACATTTGTGCGTTGATTTCTTGGAGCAAATTACCATTCCATTTATTTCATAGGTGGTCTACCATAAAACCTCTCTAAAAAGTGGCAAATTATCAAACCAATCTTAAAGTTTTACTAGATTAAATGCTTCCGCACTACAAGTTACTATCAGCTTGTCATCAGAGCCGAATTATTAGTTTGGTTCCTAATTGCCATCAGTTACTAATCCCAAATCCTAATTTTTCACAAGCCAAAATAACCTCACAAGGCAAAGAAACTTGGAGTTTTCCTTACAAGTTTGTATTGAATTAAAATTCATCAAAGCTTACTGAAATATCATAGCGAACACCCCTATTACAGGGCTATAGGTTGGCTAAGAGGTCTTCAAATCCTAATAGAACTCTAACTAGGATTTGTGGTTCCAGAAATCTCCGAAAAGGGAAATATCTCCTAATTAAATAATTGTACATGTCATATTATTTAATATTTATTAAAAGACCAAAAATTACATATTATAATAGGATTTGGTCGAAAAAACCAACAAGGAAACAAATTAAAAGCAAAACCAAATTAAAACATGAAATTTCCAGAAATTGGAAGTCTCAGCCATCAACTTAGTTGCTGACTTTATTGTCTCGATGGTCAGGTCAACGTTTCATTGCTGAATTTGATGCCAGCTGGCAGAGCAGGTCGATAAGTTTTCAGCATATTGGTCACATTCATCTGTCGAATTGATTATAGCACGCATAACTTTTGTTTCAATCCCCATTATCTTTGATATCAACACCTGTCAAACGAACCAATTTGGATATATTTCAAGTAAAATAAACCCATAATAATGTAGTGATCATCATGACTTGGAATAATCCCTAGTGACATATGTATTTTCACGTCAATGCTGCTAGAACATTAAAATATATTCATGTTTAGGATCTAAAATGCTTAAATTTGAACCGTATTTTTCTCTCCCTTGAGTTTAAAGTATAGGGTTTAGGAGGGTTTAAAAATCCCCTTAATGTTGGGGTCTAGTGGCGGGCGAAAACCCAATTGTGAGTTTAAGAATTTTGATTAGCCTAATTTAAATGTTTAAATTCCAATTGTATTTTTTCCTCCCAACCCCCCTCCCCGCGGCGTTTAGGGTTTAGGAGGATTTAAGCACCCCCCCCCCCTGAGGGTTAGGGTCTAGTGGCCGGTGAAAACCAACTTTTGAATTTAACCATTTTGATTAGAATACGAGATAGTAACCTAATTTAAACGCTTAAATTTGAACCATATTTTTCTACCCCCGATGTTCAAGATGTAGGGTTTAGGAGGATTTAAATATCTCCTTGATGGTTAGCGTCTTGTGGCGGGCGAAAACCCACTTGTGAATTTAAGCTTTTTAATTAGGTTTACGAGACACTAACCTAATTTAAATGTTTGTATTCAAAGCATATTTTTCTCTCCTTGGTGTTTAGGGTTTAGGGTTTAGGAGGGTTAACCATCCCATTGATGGTTAGGGTCCAGTGGTCGGCAAAAACCCACTTGTGAATTTAAATGTTTTGATGCAAGACCCTAACCTTATTTTTATGCTTAAATTTAAACCTCATTTTTCTCCCCTCCCCTCTTCCGGCGTATAGGGTTTAGGGTTTATGAGGGTTTAAGCAACCCTTTATTGGTTACGGTCTAGTGGTGGGCAAAAATCCACTTGTGAATTGAAGCATTTTGATTAGGTTATGAGACCATATAATCTAATTCAATACTTAAATTCAAACCGTATTTTTCTCTGCCCCTCCCCCGATGTTTAGAGTTTAGGGTTTCAAAGGGTTTAAGCATCCCCGTGATGGTTAGGGTCTAGTGGCAGGCGAAAAACCACATGTGAATTTTAGTATTTTGATTAGGTTACTAGACTCTAACTTAATTTAAATGCTTAAATTCAAACCATATTTTTCTCTCCGGGTTTAGGGTTTAGGGATATGCATCTCCAAAATAGTTAGGGTCTAATGATGCAATATATTGTTGAAACTTTACAAAATATATAAAGAAACTTTTGTTATATATTGCTGAAACTTTAAAAAATAACCACAAGGACTTTGAAAGTATATTGCTGGAACTTAATTACATTATTACGGGTACTCTTGAATTATGTAGAAGGAACTTCAAAAAACAACCACGTAGACTACAAAATTATATTGTTAGAACTTCAATAAATGCATTACGGGAACTTCAAAACTATGTGATGAGAATCATGGAGCTTCCCATTGATATTCTTCTCTATTGAAAGTTTGCTGTGAGAAGTTGCTGTGAGAAGTTGGCCTTCAAAGAAGGAGTTTTCACCTCAATCCTCTAGGTAAAGTAAAAAAGAAAGAGTCTCTTAATCTTCAAGATAAAATTATCAAATGAGTTAAATGATGGCTTTGCTGAGAATTGAGGTGATTCAAGTGAGAGTTCAAATGATGTGGTTGAATTCGATGCAAGTGAGTTTGTTCCAAAGAATAAACATCATGAAGACATTAAACATGCTCATTCAAATGTGTAGAAGATATCAGTGGAGTTTGAAGATTTAAATGGAGGTGTGCATGCCAAAAGAGAGGAAGAGCCGTGCGAGAATATTTAATAAATATATAATATTTTGTTGAGTCTGTAAATAAATAAAATTCTATTTACTTAGGGTTAAATAAATTGATTTAACTTAGGGTAATTGATAGCCTTATAGGCCGGCCCTAATCCTTAAATCATTAAGGGTAGTTTAGTCTTTTATTGTGTAAGAAGTAGGCTTTAATTCTTTTACTTCTAAGTTAAGTTAGGTGAGAGTTAGAGTCAAAATTGATTTCGTCTTTGCTTCCTGTGTGTTGGATCGAGAAGGGAGAAAGGGTAAGTGAACTTTTTTTTCTTTAGCCTAAAGTTTAGGTTCTACTTCTCCGAGACCAAGAAAACTTGCCTATATAAAGGCATAGACGAATCTCTCATAAGGGTGTGCGTGTCAAGATGGAATTTTAATCTTTATGTGTCTTATGACTTTTAATTGAAATATCATCATTAGCTGATTTTGTCAACAATGAGCGTTTCTCGTTGTGTTGGAGGAGTTGTACGATTAGTCAATCCTTTCGTCTTTGATATCTAACATGACTTGATTATAGAGTAAAAACCGTTTTATAATGTTTGCTTTTGCATAGTTTAATTGTCTTAAAACTAATAGTCTTGTATGTGAATGGAGTAAGTGTTGATTGGTTAGAGCTTGAATAGCTTATTTTTTCGAATTTCTTATGATATTTATGCATAAGAAGCCATGTTGAGTTTGTCTATTTTATAGATGGGTTTGCTTAGAAATAGCATAACAATTTATGTGTTTTGCATGCTAGTTGCCTTGGTTTCGAATTGTCCTATCTTAGATAGTAATATTTTCGATGGTGTTGTTTGTAGTTTAGTAGTGATTTTCCCATTGCATGTGCCGTCAATTATATGGGTGTTGTCAAAATAGCCCCATACTTCTCACACAAAGTCACAAGTGATGAATTGATGTATCATGGAATCAGAAGCTGCCTTGCATTTAAGACAAATAGAAGGTTGCAAAACAAAACCCATCTTGCACAAAGATTCAGAAAAGGGAAGCATAGAGTTACCAAATTTCCACATGAAAAAAAAATATTCTCAAAGGAATGTACTTGTGCCAAATATTCCGCAACCAACCGTTTATTGTTTGTCTTTTCCTTATTACCTCATAAGCCGACTTGATTGTGAAATTCCCCAAAGAAGTTGGCTTCCAAATAAATCTATCCTCCCCTCCAATGAAATACATCTACATTATCTCGAACTCCCGAAGCATATTAGAAGAAAGGCTATTTTGAAACTTGCGCAGGTAGTATTGCTTCTGAGAAAAGAAATCTCGAATTGTTGTTGATGATGAAGGAGGTAATGCACCTTGAATATCCCAAAGACGACCTAAGTTCGACCATTGATCGAACCAAAAGCTTCAATCACCACTTCTCACCAAAACTTTCGAATGATTTGTTGCTATGGCATCAACCTTTTCAAATCTCTTCCAAGATGTTTTATTTCTTGCAGCTCGTAACAAAGAAAGAATGAATTTCGCCCATATGCCTTGCTTATGCTTCAACTTCCACCATATTTTGAAAGAGAAAGCCTTCATTACATCTTGAAAATCTTGCAGCCCAACACCATTTTCCAGAACCGGAAAAGTAAGCCTACTCCACGATCTCCAATGCCTTCTTCCATCCCCTTCAACACCTTCCCAAAGGAAGTTTTGACATCTTTGCGCTATTGCATTAAGTATTGATTTTGGTGGCTCAATTGCAGCAAATACATGAATTGGAATGGCCGATAACACGTGATTGATCATTACAAGATGTCCACCTTGGCTAAGAAACTTGTTCTTCCAATTTGATAACTTCGAATCAAGCGCATCAAGAATGAACTGAAAAGTTGCGGTCTTCTTCCTACCTTGATACAGCCGGCAACCAAGGTAGAGAAATGGAAAAGACCCTTTTTGCATACCCAAACATCTGTTGACACTTTCAATCCAAGAAGAGGGGCATTTACCATCCACAAAAAAGCTACTCTTGCCTCTATTTATTTTCTGCTCAGAAGCAATTTCATACTCCTCAAAAAATGCATTCAACTCTCTCATAGAAGACTGCAAGCCACGGGTGAAAACAATTAAATCATCCGCAAAACATAAATGAGAGACATAATTGGAGCCAGTGGGAGTGCCAAAACGAGCAATCCTTCTGTTCTCCATCAAGAAATTAAGCATGCGCGCCATTGCTTCAGAGACAAGTATGAACAAAAGGGGCGATAATGGATCCCCTTGTTTGATACCTCTACTTGCTTTGAAGAATCCTGTGGGGTTACCATTCACCGAAATAGAAAACAACTATTTTGAAAGTTATTCATAATCAGAGAAATGAAATGCAAATGAAAGCCAAACCTTTGCAAGATCTCGCTCAAAAAGCTCTATGAAACACGATCAAAAGCCTTCATCATATCAACCTTCAAAATCAGATTATGACCCACGGCTTTATGATTTAGGAATCAGCACAAGTCCTGAGTGAGCATAATATTATCATTGATATCTCTCCCAGCCAAAAATGCTTATTGTTCCTCTGAAATAAGTCACGGTAAAACCCCCTTCAATCTTTCAGTAAGGATCTTGGTAAAGACCTTATTTACAAAGTTGCAAAGGCTAATTGGGCAAAGATCCGAGAAAGTAGTTATTGAGCTCTTCTTGGGTATAAGAGTAACAAGAGTACTGCCAATTGCTCTTGGGATAGGAATCCCTAGCATAAACTCTTTACAAGCATTAAGAAGGTCCGAAGCTATGATATCCCAACAAGCTCTGTAAAAGGATCCACCATAACCATCCGAGCTAGGAGCACTATTAGGATCAAGATTATCAACAGCCTTTTTCACCTCTTCCATTGTTATTTCCTTCAAAATTAAGGCATGATCATCATGAGATAAAATGGAAGGAATATGCTGCAAGAACATATCTTGGATATCAACCCTAGGTATTGCGTTTTCCTCGGTCAAAAGCTGCTCAAAAAACTTAACTCCTTGGTCATCTATTGCTTTCCTTTCCGTTAACCAAACACCTTCTTCAGATTGAATTTTTATATATACCCATTTTTTCTTTCTTTTCCATTAGAGAGGCATGAAAATAAGGTGAATTACAATCACCTTCTTTTAACCACTTCAGCTTCATTTTTTGTCTCCAAAAATCCTCATTCTCCTTAAGCTTGAGTAACAAATTTGCTTGCGCAAAATGCAGCTGGACTATCACCTTCTGATTTGGTATTATCATACCGAATCTCCAACTCTTGAACCTCCTTTTTAGGAGCTTTCAAATTGTCAAAAACATTTCCAAAAGCCATTTTATTCCATTCCTTTAGTTTCGCCTTCAAACATCTGAGCTTCAAGGAAAATCCCAGCATACCAAAACCCTCAACGTGCAATTCCCAACTCTCTTTCACCAAGGCCATAAAACCTTCCCTTCTCAGCCACATATTTTGGAAACAAAAGGTTCTTGGTTGGCTTTCCAAGATTGTGTCAAATTGGTGCAACATAGGGCTATGGTCTGATGTAGTTCTATTCAAGTTTTCAACCGAAACTTTAGGAAACATTGAGAGCCATTCCATTGAAAACAGAATCCAATCCAACTTCTTACTCACCCATCCCGTACTTCTTATTCCTCCCCAAGTAAACTCTTCCCCTAAAGTTAACAGTTCAGTTAATGAAGACTCTTCAATATAATCATTAAAATCCTTCATTGTTGCATGATCCTGAACCGAGCTACCAGAATATTCTTCAAGAGACCTTATCACATTAAAATCGCCCCCTACCATCCAAGGAATATTCTGATTTTGTTGTCGGAAAGAAAGCATATCATTCCACAATTCTTGTCGAGCAGCCCTAATAGACTTAGCATATACTGCTGAAATGCAAACCTTTAAACCAATCGATTGGTGTACCACCTCAAAGTGTAACACTTGCTCTAAACTCCAAGCAAGTTAACTTTGACATCGTTTTTGCTCAAGACCCAAATCTTGCTTGTGGAAGAAGAGAAGGCAACATCAAAATGAAGTGACTTGATTTCATCTATTTTATTACTTGGCAACATAGGCTCCAAAAGAATAAAAAATGAAACTTTGTACATTTTAACCAAAGATTTCAACCGCCGCATGGACGCTTGATTTTTAGCTCCACGTATATTCCATATGATGTGACTGATCATTATGAAACTTTATTAAATGGTAACACAAAGATTCTTACTGCAAACCAGCAGAGCAACGAAGCTCTACCCCTTCAGTCAACTTAGCTCTCTCCTCTTTGGACTTTCTCCCCCGCTTCCTTTTCACAGTGACTTCACCATTATTTACCCGTTAAACATGCACATGCGAACCATCCTTTTCACTCTCCGACCAACAGAACTCTTCCTGCGCTTCTTCATCCTCATCGTCCTGAGTATTTGTGTCGAAAGAATCATCCAGAAACTTAGTCATTCCCGGCTGAGGTGAGGACGCCATATTGCGCAAAGCATCTTCAATGACATCGCTAGCGTGGTGTTGTTGTTCATCCACATTCCTTTGAGTAAAACATTCTCCTCATCATCAGTATCATTAATCAAATTCAATTCATCATTATCCATATCTTGGAGGGCCGAAAATTGATTGGACGCACTTTCGGTAACAACAACTTTGTCCGTCGAAACAACTTTGAGACCAGCAAGTTTTCCCAATTCCAATTGTTCAGTACGGGAGTCTGAGCCATCCGGAATGTCGACCAGAATCGATGCCTTCTCCTTAATGATCAAACCAGAAGATGACTCCAGCAATCTCAGATCAATCGCAGGTGGCTGAAACACAATCGCAGGGGGGCGCGACTCAACGTTACGTGCTGCTATGGTTTCCTCCACAGGGGGGTGCGACTCAACATTGCGCACCCTAAACCAAAATGGTTATTCAGAGGCAGTGAGGAGAAATCCAAATCTTCAAATCTCCAAGTGGAAATATTGAAGGATAATCCTTTAGTTGTTAAAGCTACTGAGATGCAAACCTTGGCGCAACATAGCCTCCCTGCAGAGGAAAGGGAGCTTCTCTTTTTATCAGTGAGCAAAAATGAGTTGTTGATATCCTCCTCTGCAATATGTAGCAGGTCACAAATCCCAAACCAGCCGGTAGATGTGTCCAAAGGAGTTGCCATCTTTCCTTGAAGGGCATTGTGGAGCATGTAACGATCAAATTCCTTTGAAGACTCGTTCATCTTGTGGGTCGATTCCCTGATCAATCTGATCTCTGCTGACTGGGGATCTACAGCCTCATCAAGCAGTGAATTAAAGAGGTGAGCACCACAAGGTAAACACTCATATGGAAGGCTTTTCCCATGCCCATGTTTGCTATCTTTCACGGTAAAGCAAAAGATTTTACTCCATCAATTTTATACAATTTTAATACCTTATCCAAAGCAAGAGCAACTTCTACATGTGTATAAGGGCGAGGGATTCTACATATGTCCAAAAGCATACTCTTCAACTCTCATTTTTCATCAATCCAATGGAATGTGACATCCATATATATCATGTCTTGAGTAGGAGTGTTCCACACATTTAGTCCAAAAGATACTTTGGAAGTAATTCCTTGTACTCTCTGTTTGACTTCATGTTGCACCTGTGTAAGAGTTCGCCAAGCAAACCAGTAGGTGGTGGTGTGATAAACAATTTGAAGTCTCTGCTATTCACTAATTCTCCAGAGGAATCCCTCCCATCTGAATCCAATCGTATGCCATGAACGTGATGGAGGTGTATTTTGAGGCCTTTTCAGTGATTTATAAGCATATGTTTTACTGCACTCTTTACACCTCCTCTCCCTCACATCATTAAGAGTGTGAATTGTGTGATAGTCTGATACTTTTGTAAATTTCCTACCCTGCCTACCCTTGAGGCTATCAAAACGGAAGAAGAGATGAATAGTTGACATATTTTTGTAGATTTCCTACCCTGCCTACCCTTGAGACATTTTGATCCTAATACGTTTTACTTAGTTTTACCAAAAAAAAAAATCATGGAACGGACATGGACAATAATAGTGTACATCCAATATAGGTGGACAAAAGTAATTGTCCTAGATTTGTCAAATCCGAAACAAGGAAGCACTCGGACTACAGAAATCCAAGACAACCTAGACTCGGATTACGTAATTCGAAACAAGACTAACGAAAATTAACTAAAATTAATCATAATTAAATTTAATAAGGACCGAATTTCTGAAATCCAGGTCCTAGGAATAAAAAAATTAATTTCAATTTTGAAAAAGAAAACTAAGTGTTCGATAATAGAAGTTGACCAGTTTTGGATTAGCGTAATCCAAAGGAGCTACATTTGGATTACCAAAATTCGAATCTCCGTCGTTTTTTTGATAAAATGAAACTCTCGGATGCATTTTTTGTCTGCAAAGACTTTTGGATTTGACAAATCCGAGAGTAGTACAAATTGTAGTTTAGGTTTTTTTATTCCCTAAAAAAACACATTAGGGTGTGTCCCCTACAAAATACAAATTCCAACATTAGGGCTAAAATACATCCAAAAAAAAAAACCAACTACTAAATAGGTACTCTCGAATTTACCAATTCTAACAATTAGTGTGAAAAAATATAAACTAATCACCATTGAATCTGTCTTGCCCATATGTGTTACCAGTATAGTACACCAAGGAAAGAAACCAATATGTCTTGCCCAATTAATCCTCTTGAATCTAAAATAATTGTTTAGATCCATAAGATGTGCTAAATTATGTTGATCAAGAAGTAACCATTAATTACCTTAAAATAACATACCAAACTGAGCAAGCGTTAAACTTACTGAGAGGGGAAAAATTAGGAAAAGAAAAACCCATTATTCTGTATTCATGAGTTGATAATTTCATGAAAAAAGAACATCATATGAAGAAAAGGAGTAAACTATGTGGAAGAAAGAGTCTAAAGAATGTGTTTCTTTTTTATGGTTAATGTGCAAAGAGAATAGATAAATAATAAATTACTACAAATGACTATCTCAATTTAGTTCCTGAACTAAGCTATCAATGTCTCAACTCTTATACGGTTACTTTGATTCGGTGTTTAAATTACATTTACATAGTTTATACTAGAACTTATAGAAATCGATAATAACCACGAGACAAGATAAGATACAAATGTGTACAGATAGTAAACCGAAAATGTGAAGTCATTCTAGTTAGGACATATTTGTAGCTAAAAAACTTTTTGCATAAAGGGTTTTGGTATTTAAAAGATAAACTGAATGTACCAAAATTGGGTAGTACGTATACCAATAAAATAAATAAATAAATGTATTCGAAACATATAAGTGGTAAGTGAAAAGGAAGTTCGTACAAGTATCTGAGACAACTCTACTACAGATGAACAAAACATTTAGAATGAATAATTTTCAATTTTAATAGCATTGGCTCTTTCGTGTCATTTAAAAACTGTTAGGATTCTGTGCGCGACTACATGTATCCAAACAAGATATGCCCTACACCTATCTACATGTGATACCCTCACAACCAAAAGGAAAGATATGTGACTATGAAGGTTACTTAATCTAAATGTATGGAATTATAATGATACATCTTCTCCATAGGTTAAAAAAGGTATAAGAATGACGAATGATGAAATAGTCCTTAGTTATGTATAATATCACCAGATTCAATTAATGATTTGCCATTATTTCTGAATGAGAATTTATTAACTTTTAGCAAGGATCATAAAACATCCTATGCCATGAAACCATATTAGTTTATTATACACACCAAAATACTATATAACCTTTACTATAATATGTTTCTGTTTTAAAGGTGGAATCTCTGTAGAATTGTTCTAATCTTTAGAAATACCTTGGTGGAAGTGAAAGGCTATCACCATGAACTTTCCCAATAGCACTGAATTAGGAATTATTATTGGTAGGTTGACCAAATTTGTTTGTTCCAACTCATAAGCAATATTCCTTGAATCTTTTTGTTTCATTGCTCAATAGAGATAACAAAACTACATAGTAAACCTTTGATAATAGTGTTTGCACCAGATATAGGATTTAAATCTTTACTAATGTGATAACACAAATCATCTCTATATGCACATTTTTTACTAAGTGCCACAAATACATAGACATTATATGTATCCGAAAAGAAAAAATTTATGCAAACTTTGGAAGATAAAGTTACCTCATGGTATAACTCATCTTGAGGAAAAGTTGAAGAAACATTACCCTTAATACTCCCTTAACACCATAGTTATCATACCACCATTAAAATGTCACCTTTATGAAGCCTATAGTGGTAGGAAATGTAGAAACTTATTTCATAGGGACATGATTGAAATGTGAGGCTTTAGACGTTACACAAAGTGTGAGGATGGATGAGATGCACTTTATGTCACGGGCTCACTTTTTCAAAGTAACAGCCGTGCGTCACTAGCACTAAAACCACCAAAGATAAACGTGCTAGCTCAGCCTTGATCCCTTAAACATGCAAAGCTATGCAAAAAAGTCAAAGAACGTAGGCAAAGGAAAGCTTAAGGATGCTTGGAAATGGAAGAACGATGAAGACACAGGAGAGCTTAAGGAATGCTTGAGAACTCTTACTCAAAGCTTGGATGGTTACAAATGAGGGAGGCTTGGGGTATTTATAGGCTAAGTCCCCAAGTCCATGAGAATTCTAGAGATTTTATACAAAGAATATAATAATAGCTATCTAGAGAATTCTAGGACTAAAATATTCTAAGTGTGGAATTCCATAGAACCATAAGTCTCTACAATTCCAGCAAAACTCGGGTAGCTTCCCTACGTTTCCAGCAACATCCGCCTCCTTCTAGAGAATTCCAATTCTGTCTAGGCTTGACCGGAGAATTCCAGCAAGCCCTAGCTCGACCCGTCCCTTGTCCCATCTAAGGAAATGGCTCGGCTAATCCAACAAACCACACAAAAACGTGGGAAAGGCCGGCTGACTCGAGAAACGAGAAACGGCCGTGACATCCTCCCCCACCAAAACGGTGCATCGCCCCGATGCACTCTAAGATTCAAAGGCAATGTTGATGGGAACGGGTGCATGATTCTCCTCAAAGTCCTCGATCAACTTGGTGAATTGCCAATGCTTCTCGACCGGCTCCCAACTCGTCTCGCTCATTCGCAAAGCCTTCCATCTCACCAAGTATTCTTTAGTCGCTGCCCCGTTCTTGCCTCGAACGATCCTCTTAGAAAGGATCTCCTCCGCGGTCCGTTCCTCGTGCTCGCATACGCCAGCGCGTGCCCTTGAGTAAACGTTCCGTTCTTTGTCCTCTGGGTCCTTGCGGTAAGGCTTAAGTAGGCTCACATGAAAGACTGGATGAAGCCTTGAAAAGGCCTCGGGTAGCTCCAACTTATAAGCAACGGAACCTACTTTCTTAAGAATGTTGAAAGGACCCTCGTACCTACGCATGAGCCCCTTGTGAAGGCCACGGCTCCGTCCATGCTCATAGAGTTTCACCAAGACTTGGTCGCCTTCCTCAAACTCGCGACAGCTCCGTTTCTTATCTGCCCATTTCTTCATGCACGCAACCGATTTCTCTAAGTAAAGCTTCGCCTCATCGGCCCATTCTTGCCAATCCTTGGCAAATTTGTATGCGGGAGGGCTATTGCCCTTGTAGCCCCCAAGGATGTCCTTAGGTATAGTCAGTTGGAAATCAAGGACAATCTCAAACGAACTCTTGCCCGTGCTCTCGCTCCGCATCAAGTTATAGGAAAATTTGGCAACGTCTAGCAAACATATCCAATCTTTCTGGTTGGCTGCCACATAGTGCCTAAGTTACACCTCCAAGAGACCGTTGATGCGCTCTGTCTGCTCATCCGTTTGCGGGTGCAAAAAGATGTAGACATCTTGAGCTCCGTCCCAAGCAAATGAAAGAGTTCTTGCCAAAAACGGTCGGTGAACCTTGAGTCTCTGTTGCTTATGATCGATGTAGGCAGCCCCCAACACTTCACCACATGCCTAAGAAAGAGCTTGGCCATTATCTCTGCGGTGCACTCCTTTGGGGCGGGTATAAAGACCGCATACTTAGACAAACGGTCCACCACAGCAAGGATGTTAGTGCATCCCTCGGGTGTTCCAGAATAGGCAAAGGTGATAGCAAGCCATGCGGGTGATCTTGCTCGGTCTTGTCTTGTTGACAAACGAGACAAGTCCTCACATAGGTCTCTACATCTTTCCGCATATGAGGCAAATAGAACCGTTCATGAACCAAAGCAAGTGTATGATGCTTACCTGGGTGACCTGCATAACGGCTATCATGGCAATCCCTTAGGATCTCTCTTCTAAGTCCATCCCATGCGGGCACGTAGAAACGCTTCCCCTTGGCATAAAGTATCCCATCTTGAAACCAAAATTGTGTTGTCTTGCCCTCCTTCACGAGCTCCATGAACCTTTGAGCTTGGCGGTCAAGCTCAAGACCCTTCTTGATACGATCAAGCAACGTCCCCTCGAGTATGCTAATGATTGGAGCAAGACACGCCTTTCGGCTTAGGGCAGCGGCCACGTGGTTAGTCTTTCTCGGGCTGTATTCCAGCTCATACTTAAACTCGGCCAAGAAGTCTAACCAACGTGCTTGCTTAGTAGAAAGCTTGGGTTGGCTTTGATGGTAGCTCACTGCCCGATTGTCCGTCTTGATTTTGAACGGCGTTGCTGCCTTCAAGTAATGCTCCCAAGGCAATGAACTATTGCCAACATCTCCTTCTCGTGCGTCAGCCACCTTTTCTCGGTTTCGTTCAACTTGCGGCTTTCATAGGCAATCGGGTGACCGTCTTGCATGAGAACGCCCCCTATGGTGAAGTCCGAAGCGTCCGTACACACATCGAATGGCTTCTCAAAATCAGGGAGAGCCAAGACCGGCTCTTGAGTGACGGTGTCCTTCAAAGCTTTAAACGTCGTTTGGTGCTTAGGTGTCCAGTACCATGCTTGCCCCTTCTTCAAGAGATCCGTTAACGGAGCGGCTATGGCGGAGTGTCCCTCAATGAACCGCCTATAGTAATTGACAAGCCCCCAAGAATGATCTCAGCTTCGTCGGCTTTTTGGGTGCCTCCCATTCGATGATAGCCTTAATCTTGGCTGGATCCATGCGGATTTTGCCCCCACCGATGATGTGCCCCAAGAACAACACCTCCTCAAGGCCAAAGGAGCATTTCTCCCATTTTACATAGAGCTCGTTCTCCCTAAGAACTTGGAAAACGGCCCTAAGATGCTCCACGTGCTCCTTCATGGTGTTGCTATAGATAACGATGTCGGCCAATTTTACTACAACAAACTTATCAATGAAATCAGCAAGCACACGTTGCATCAAAGTGCAAAACGTGGTTGGGGCGTTAGTCAGACCAAACGGCATAACAAGAAACTCATAAGAGCCATACCTTGCACCATGGCCGTTTTAGGTTCATCATCGGGTGCTATGCGCACTTGAAAATATCCCTTCCGCAAGTCCAACTTGGAAAAGATCATTGCCTGTTGTAACCGATCAAACAAGTCCGCTATAAGAGGGATAGGGTACTTGTTCTTCATGGTCAGCTTGTTCAAAGCCCGATAGTTGATGCACAAACGTAGCGTCCCGTCCTTCTTGCATTGAAACAAAGCTGGTGCACCCCCAAGGACTCTTGGATGGCCTTGCATGACCCGATTCAAGTAGCTCCTTGATTTGCACCTTGAGTTCCTCTAGTTCGCCAGGGGACATACGATAAAGCACCTTCGCGACCGGTTTTACCCCGTCCACCAACTCGATAGCATGATCAATCTCCCTCCTTAGTGGAAGACCCTTGGCAATTCGTCGAGCATACGTCCTTGAACTCAACAAGGACCTGTTCTATGGGAGGCGGGATCCATTCCTCCTTTGCTGGCTCCTCCGAGCATGGTTCCTCCTCAAACACCATGGCGGCAAATGTGTGTTCACCCCGTTTTAGCCCCTTGTTCAGCTGGGAAGGGCTAATTCTCGTTTTCCCGCCTAAACTTCACCACACAAGGCTTCTCGCCTTGAAGGATCACCATCGTGTCTTTACTAGGCACGATGATCGGCTTCACCTGGTCTAAAAGCTCCATGCCAAACACAAGACCGTAATCATCCATAGGTGGAACGGAGAAATTAGCCTTACCTGACCAATTGCCGATTTTAAGAGGCACGTTCCTGGCTTCGCCCAAAAGACCCATCCATTCGCCATTCACACCCTTGAAACGGCCTTTGCTAGGTGTCCATTTGACTCCAAGAGAACGGGCTACCTCTTCCGTGAGATAATTCGTGTCGGGCCTCATGTCTAGCAGCCCCCATCTAGACCCGTTTGCAAACGATGCCTCCATGTAAAGACGGCCTTGACGAGTCTCGGCCTTAGCATGCACGGCGTCTAGCCGTTTCATGCAAGTGACCCGTCTCTCCTCTTCTTGGCACAACCCTTGCGCCAATGTTGCCAACTTTGAACGAGACGAGCACTCACGTGCCATGTGCACTCCCCTGCACAAGAAGCATCCTTGGAACTTTTTCAGCTTGTCCCCCTTTGTCTCCTTGCTCGAAGACGGCTTTGTAGAGTCGGCTGCCGGTTTAGCGGGTGTGGAAGACTTCCCCTTGTCTCCCCCACCTTTGCCTTGGAACGACTTCTTGCTCTTGTCCTTGGAGCTATCGTTCTTTTGGAACTCTACAAGCGACTCGGCCACCTTTAAAGTCCGATCTATGTCTTGGACTTCCCTCCGTTGTAGCTCAAACTTAGCCCAACGGTTGAGACCGAGTGAAGAATGCCTCCTTGGGCGAGAGGTCCGGGATTTCAAGCATCAAGTCTGAAAATTCCTTAACGTATTCCCGAATTTGGCCTTCCCTATGGTGCAAACGACGAAGCTTGGCCCGGGCTTCGTTCTCCGCATCCACGGGTAGGAAATATTTTCTAAATTCTTCCTTAAAACCGTCCCACGTGGTGAAGACCGGGTCTCCGTCCCCCACGGGTTTCATCATACGTTTCCACCAACTCAATGCACTATCTTTAAGATAAAGAGATGCTTGGAAGAGTCTTACCGAGTCGTTTATGATGTTCATAGTCCCAAAGTACCGTTCCATGCTGTAGAGAAAGTTCTCTACATCCCCCAAATGACGGCTGCCCTTGTACTCATCCGGCTTGGGCGCTTCAAGTCTTGGAACCGTCCCCACCGCCCCAGTTGTCCCTTGCACGGCCATGGCATCTAGCCGTGCCTTAAGGCGGACCGATTTTGCCCGAGAAGTCTCCAGCTCCCCCATAAGCCGGTTGACGTCGTCTTGGAGGGCGGCAACACGAGCAAGGCTTTCCTCCTTCGACTTGTTGTAACGTTCCACCATCTCATTGAGCGTCCCTAGCATGTCGTCCTTCATTTGCTGCATGACAATTCACCCGTGAATCACTCCATGCGAGCTTCGTCGACCCCTGCCACCGTGTCGGGGTGCTCATCCCAACGGTCTTGATGGTCGGCCACAGCAAGCTCTAGCTTGGCAAGCCGTTTCTCGAATTCCACCATGGGCTCCCTAACGACCGACTTTTCTTTGCGGCTTCCCTTGCGAGAGGCCCTCTCCACCTTGCGGGAAACGTGATCCCCCTCAAGCTCTGACCCTTGAACAGCCTCCGAAGGGTTAGACATAACTTATGCACGAAAGTAAACCAACAAACGGAAGCGTAGATGATATAGAACCACCAAGTATCGAGCCGAAGCTCTGATACCAACTGTCATGGGCTTACTTTTTCAAAGTAACGGCCGTGCGTCACTAGCACTAAATACCAACGATGAACATGCTAACTCAGCCTTGATCCCTTAAACGTGCAAAGCTATGCAAGAAAGCCAAAGAACGTAGGCAAAGGAAAGCTTAAGGAAGCTTGGAAATGGAAGAACGATGAAGGCACAAGAGAGCTTAAGGAATGCTTGAGAACTCTTATTCAAAGCTTGGATGGTTACAAATGAGGGAGGCTTGGGGTATTTATAGGCTAAGTCCCCAAGTCCATGAGAATTCTAGAGAATTCTATACAAAGAATAAAATAATAGCTATCTAAAGAATTCTAGGACTAAAATATTCTAAGTGTGGAATTTCATAGAATTCCAAAAGTCTCTAGAAAGCTCCAGCCCATCCTAGTCCGTTCTAGCAAAACTCGGGTAGCTTCTCTACGTTTCCAGCAACGTCCGGCTCCTTCTAGAGAATTCCAATTCCGTCTAGGCTTGACCGGAGAATTCCATCAAGCGCTAGCTCGACCCGTCCCTTGTCCCGTCTAAGGAAACGGCCCAACTAATCCAGCAAACCACACAAAAACGTGGGAAAGGCCGGCTGACCCGAGAAATGGGAAACGGCCGAGACATTTAGAAGATGAATGTTAACGAAAAATCAAAATTGCTTAGGATTGTCAAAAGACCTATGTAGATAACCGAAGAAATAGTCTAAGGTTTGAAGTTGGAGATGAGGCTTTCCTCAAGATAACATCTATAGAATGATAATTAAGTTAGGAAAGGAAAAATTCGGACCATGATATGAAGCCCCCCTTTTTGAAATCGCCAAATAGAAATTGGGAAATAGCTTGATCTACCTCACCCTCTCAAGGATATGCAATGTTTCGAAGGAATAATGATGCAATTAACCCCAAGCAAGCATAATGATTGGAATTAGTGGAAAATCATTTCCTTGAAACACGACTTGTTTAGTCCTAATTAGAAGAATTCAAAGTAATCTATACCAAGGAAATATGCCTATATAGAACTAATCTCATGGAGACATGGTGGCATGAAGGAGAATCATGGGAACCAGAAGAATACATGAGCGAAAAAAATATATCCAGGATTATTCATCAATACATGTACGAATTTTGAGGACAAAATTCTCTTAAGAAGGGGAGAATGTAACACCCTAGAAATTTTAAGTCGTATGCTTTGTAGTGTTATAAATCCTATAAAGGTAAATATAGATTCATGATATAGAATGCATAATAATTGTTTAATAATAGTGCTATTAAACTAGAAATGACTATGCTGGTTTAGGTTTAAATAATTTATGGTGTAAAATGTATATGTATGAAATAGTTTTAGGGCTAAATTATTTAGAATCAAGAAAAAAGCAATATAAGTAGTCGATGAAGGAATAGAAACCGTATTGAGCTAAGAACTAAGACATTAAATTTAAATTTGTTGATTAAAAGAGAGAATTGTGAGACAAAGGCGCATAATATATATAGCAACTAAGTAGCTTGCAATTCAATCTTACATAAGGCCATAATGATGAGTAAGAAAAAGAAACAAGGCTTATGGGGAACAACGTTCGAGAAATGAGATTGGGTAAATAGCTTATTCATCCTAAGGTGATCAACGTGGAGAAATAATATGAATTAGGCAGGCACTCTCCTACAACGTAAGGCTACTAGTGAGTAAGCAAACTAGGCAAGATAGGTGGAAGGAGTTCACGTACATTGCGGAAAAAATGAATTAAACAAGCATCTTATTAGGTTCCTTCAGGATGACTAAGCAAAACAAAGCGCAACATGTGGATGGTCTAAAATCCATTACGCAGCAATCCTATAAGCTAGAGAAAGAGGAAAGTATGTGGAAGCAAGCCAACTAGTTCTGAAAACTAGAACCTAGAAATGTAGTGAGGCAAACAGCACCCTAGGTGCTATTGCGGGTGAGTAAGCAAAGCTATAAGTAGTACGTTTCTAGTTTAAAAATGAATACTCAACATGCCTAAAGTCTAGATAAGTGGTGAAGCAGACATGTTCTCCTGGAACTAAAAATAAACATTGTAGGTTCCATTCATTAACGCATCAAAAGTTTTCAGAAAAGAAAGATAGAGATAAAAGAGAGAAAGGGTAACAATATGTGAGATCAAAAGGGGGAAGAAGAAGCTTTGATTAGCTATGTAGAGTAGAGACTTTTATGCACAAGGTAATCAAACAAACACTTTCTTGTGGTCAATATTAATTTTGAATATGAGCTTAATAGTATTTTATATATTTTTAAGTAACTTATGCATCTAGTAGGAGTATTTTGCACTATTAGAATATTTGAACAAAGGATTTTTGGTGTGCAATTTGATTAAAAATATTCAAAACCGTAGGTAGTTGCTGTTGCTGACAGCAGTATGCGGTCTTAGTAAATTTGTCATAACTTTTCATAGGAAACTCCGATTTAAGAACCGATTAATACATTGTAAAATACACTCGTAGATATTTTCCATGATGTAAAATAGGTACACTGTTTCTTTTCAGATTAGTGCTGTTGAATCAATGAAGACAACGCAAAAACTATTATGCATTTTCCGATTTTATAACTTAAGTCTTATTTTGAAACTTAGCCCACAATCCTCGTAACGGGGTGCACAACTAATGTTCTCTTATTCCAATATCAAATAGTAATTACATGTAATTTGGAGATTGTTAAAACCTCATCTACGTTTATTGACAAAAAATAAGGATGACAAAGGCATTTCTTCATCCATATACTATGTATCCGGATAGTATAGGCAACATGGTTAAGTATTGGGAATGGTTTAACTATGATATAGGTCATAAGTAGGAAATAGTAATAGTATACAAGCAATAGTATCCAACTAATAGCTCAGAACTATTTGATACATTGCAGGGGACACATGCGGAGACCGTGGCTCATAAAGGCATCTGTAAGTAATCCTCACTCTTTTGGAAATTATTTTAAAACCTGGGAGTATGGATACATTTAAAAGAAGACACTGCACACGGACACATTTTTAAAAGTATGTTTGAATATTGTTACTAAGCCCTAAAGGTGGTCTTATTCGCCGTATGGTATATTTGTTGAGTGAACTTGTTGACTGCCTTGATTGTTTGATAAATATGGAACTGTGTGTGGCTATGAGCCATATTTGTATTTATATGTGTATGATTAAGGGCCCGGGGTGACTGGTTGAGCAAATGTGTCATGAGCCATCATAGTTGGTCATGTCCGTTGTCGACAGTAGCTGTTTAGGATTCTCATGAGATATCCGGTCGTGGTTTGGAGTGATTGGTGGATTTTCTATATGCAACTGTGGAGGTCGCTCCTCCTAACAACTGGAATTGCAAGGCCTAGTCTCGAGTTGGAACTAACGGAAACAGTCGGGTTAGGAATCTAGTCATTGTTGTCATAAAGGCACTTGGACTTGATCCTGTCCTTGATGATTGGTAATCTTATATATATATATATATATATATATATATATATATATTGTTTGCTTGTAATTGTATCAAACTATTTGATTACTTGTCTCTGTGATACCCTACTTTAGTTGGTAAAGTTTTAACAATTTCTGGGTACCAACCCTACTTGATTTTATAAAAGGATATATATGTAGTATTAGTAGAAATCTCACTGAGCTCGCCGCTCACACTTTTATCATATATAATCATCCTCTCCCAGGATTGCAGAGAATAACAGAAAGCTTGTCAGCTATAGAAGTTTTCTTGAGCAAGATTAGTTGGAGTGTCAAGGTCGCTAGT